ACCTTTTTCTAGTTTATCTTTGGGGGGCGCCTGGGTGGCTCAGTCAGTTAAGCATGGACCTAGGCTCAGGACATGATCTCATGTCAGCTGTGCTGACAGCTCAGAGCCTGGAGCCTGTGTTGGATTCTGTATCTCCCTCTCTCTGCCCCTCCCCCCCCCAAAATAAACATTAAAAAGAAAAATAGCAATATACTAATTTTTCTTTTGAACACAATCTTGCTGGCTTAATCTGATATTCTGGGGAAAATGGGAGCTTCTTACATGAATAATTTTTTTCATTGTATAAGTTTTTCTTCAGTGTGTTGTCTGTGGGATATGAGTGAAAATGGAGAGTACAGAATGAATACATAATTGTTGGTATTTTATAAAATTTCTTTCAGAGCCAGTGTTCAATTGATAATGATTTAGAGTTTGCTTAAGTTAATCATTTTATATTGACAACACTATACTTGACCATAAAAAGGAGTGGAAAGTTGGGGCTTACAAATCTAAAATAGAGCCTGGTTCTGCTGTAGCCACTAGGTGTGGGTTATTAATCAAAACGGACACCAGGAACTCCCCTCACACAAAACTTACAGTCTAATTTGTAGTGGATATGTATACAGAAAAGTAAATCAGTGGCCCTACATTTTGACCAACACTTAATAGGTTAAGTACAGTATGCTCTGAGAACACAGAGAAGAGACATTGAAACCAGCAGCGAGGTGACAGAAAGCTATTCCAGAAAGTCGTCTCACAATAGATCATCACAAAAGTAAAACTCCAGAGTATCTTCCCTTCCTTGGCTCACAGAAAGATTACTGAGTTATGATGAAGCCAAGGAAAAGCCATTTAAAAAATAAAGGGGTGAAGTAGAGTAGAATTTGCTACCCCAAAATATTTATCTTTGGCATAAGGGTTATCTTGATCTGATTAATTTTAAGAAAACGAAGGCATAGAAGAGGCTCTGAAAACCAAGTAGAAGTAGCCCTTTTGTGAGGGAAATTAATATTTATAAGGGAAATCTCTATGTGTAAGAGTGTCTCTCCCTCTGTACCAAGAAGAGGGGGATGACTAAATCTCTAGAAACTATTATCTAGCAGCAACTTAAATCTGCATAACAACCATGCCTTCATTTATCGTGCTTTATCTGATAGCCTTTCGTAACTGACGACCCTCCCCAACAGCATCCTCTTTTGTCTTTAGCTGGAAATGGTATTTAAGGTCGTGGCTTGGGACATTCTTCCTGAGTATCTCCCATGTATACAGGAGGTATACATGTTATTAAAGTTCTGTTTGTTTTTCTCCTGTTAATCAGTCTTTTATCACAGGGGAGTCAGCCAAGAATCTAGAAGTGTAGAGGGAAAATTATTTCCCTCCCCTATAGGGAGTATATAAGAAAAAAAAAAAAGGCTGAAGAAAGCAGTCTCAATTCTGCTCCTTCTTTTCTTCCTTTTCTTTTCTTTTCTTTTCTTTTCTTTTCTTTTCTTTTCTTTTCTTTTCCTTATCCATTCAGACACCACAAGTAGTTTATGAAGTAGACAGGAATAAAAGGAGAAGACAGTAACACAACCCCAGCACTATCAAAATTAAAGGTAATCAGTTTTTATGAGTGGCACCCTTACTAGTACAGAATCTGGCCAAGAGTAGACAGGCTGAGTTTGTTTATACTGCTAGTAAGAGTGTGAATTGAGATAAACTTTCAAGAAGGATTTTTGAAAAAATATTCAAAATCTCATGTCATTCAGTAATTCCCAATCTAAAATATGTATCCTCATTAGGGAAAACTCAAAGAGTCATTGAATAAGTATGCTAAGCATTATTGGTAATTTGGAAAAACAAAATAATATACAGTAGTAGAAAGCTGTTAATGAGATATACCCCCATATATTAGAATTTTGCAATCATAAAAATCAAGTTGGAAGAAAGAGAACAGAAAAACCAAATTCTGTGAGCTGTGTCTTGGGGCACACACTTACATAACCAGAGCTGACATTCCCTTGCTTTCACATTATGCTTTTCTCTCTGCCTCTTTTTGGGTACCCACAACCCTTCATATGTTCCTTTTCTGCTTTTTTATTCACTTATTTATCTAACAACAGCCCCTTCTCCCCCTTTTCATTGGTAGTTACATTTTAAAGGAACTGCTCATAGGCTTTGAAAACAAGGAAAAGATTGTGTGTATGTATGTTCAGGTGTAACTGAACTCAAGAGGCTTGCCACTTGGTGTGCACTGAATTGAACACAACTCAAGAAAGGGCTGAAAGCAAAGAACTTCGTACTACTTGTCACAAGTAAGGAGAGAGGAAGATAGGTCTCAAAGCACTGTCTCCCTGTGGGGCTAGTACAGGAAGCTTTTATTCAGTATACTAGAGGCAGGTAGCTTGCATATACAATAAGGAACTTAATACAATCTCTATTACTTGGGCTCTTTGGTTCAACTGCACATGTCTGGTGTGTCAACAAGCTAATGAATACATTGTATGTTTAAAATAGGGTGGAAAACTGCCCATAAGAGGAGATCTTAGTATTGTAATGAGTTAAAGGTAACTTCAGGACAACTTGGGGGCTCCTGCACAGGTCCTCAGCTCCAGACCAGCTCAGAGTGGCCCAGGCAAGGGGCTACCAGGGGAAACACCTAGCCTGGCCTTTCCTTGTAAGGAACTGCTAGTTCTACAAACCAAAGCGTATTCCTTCCCTGCTTTTGTCCCTTCCCCCTCCTCCCTTCTGCTGATAGCTTTCAGCCCTCTGATCTGAGTAACTCCCTGTTGCATCTTGGCTAACACAGGCACTGTGCATAGAAAGACTCTCTTAAAACATACAACCAACAAGCAACAGTGACAGACCCTGGGGAGAATACAGAAGGACAAGAAAAGTAGAGTAAAGGGAGACTTCCTTTCACTGATCATTTTTTGGTAGTAATTATAAATACCATGAATATGTACTGCCCAGTCAACATACAAATAAATACATATTGTATATGGGATGTGGAAAGAATGGAGAAATGGAGAAAGAAATAATTAATTCTCTTAACAATCCTGTGGAAACTGTTTTAAAAAGGAAGAGACATCAGGGGCGCCTGGGTGGCTCACTCTGTTGAGCGACCGACTTCGGCTCAGGTCATGATTTTGCACTTTGTGAGTTCGAGCCCCGTGTCGGGCTCTGTGCTGACAGCTCGGAGCCTGGAGCCTGCCTCGGATTCTGTGTCTCCCTCTCTCTGTCCCTTCCCTGTTCATGCTCTGCCCCTGTCTCTCAAAAATGAATAAACGTTAAAAAAAATTTTTTTTTTTTAAAGGAAGAGACATCAACTAACTCGTGTGAGGTCACAGAACTGCCGAGTAAAAGCGAGGGTTCAGATTTTATTCTACCCCCAACTCTTTAGTCTGCTTTTTTGGAGACTGTATGTTGTTCTTCTCGTCTCCCCTGTCCCAGTCATTCCAATTCTATGATGGTTCTCTGTTCTGTGCCATCTAAACACAGTTCCCTGATTCCACCACAGTCATTCTTTTGAACTCATTCTTAGTGATCTGTACCTTCCCTAATGATAAAATTCTATATCCATCCAGACTTCATTTTTACAAATAGAAGAGAATTTTCCTAAAAAGAATCTCATAAATCAAAAGTATTTTCAGAGCATTTCACGTACTGTTGCTTCTCAAAGAGATATTTACTACTTACATTTTCCTTTTAAACCAAAAAGCAACTCTACCTCCCTTTACACAGTACCATTAGGCTGTGGATTTGCAAACCTAAACTGTATAATCCTTTCACCCTTTGCTGGAAGGTGTGTCAATCAGAGTCCCAGCAGAAAACAGATGATCCCCTGAAACAAAGTAATTGAAAAGCATAACAAGGGCACTATTTGCATGGGTACAGGCAAAAGAGTGGTTGAGAGAAACCCCAAAAGGATGGTAGAGGCTAGTAGAAGCAACACTACCACCCCTTTGAATGAAGAGACAAAAGAGGAAATAGGCATTCAGTGACTATAGCCCCCTAGAAGAAAGTCAGGGAAATAAATATCATAGTATCATGCTCCTCTTTCTGTCTGGTTTTCTCTGCTGATGCCACCATTGGCTTAACCCAACCAGAAACCAGATGGCCATGGAGCCCATTGACAAGATCCATTAGGGAATGCCTCCCAGGACTTGGAGCAAGGTACACAGAGGCAGAAAGTTGATCTAGAGAGGCACAGAGAGAATACCTCACGTAGTCTCTGTCATATACATTACCATAACAGTCAGTCATCATTTCTTCTGCTGACCGGCAGCTGTGTGGTGCTAACCTAATTACTGGCTTGTAACACAAAGTCTTCTCTATGGTTCTGAAATATTCTCCAGATTTTTAGCTGACCACCCTGAGCTTCAGACTTCTCCACCCAAGTGTTAAAAGCACAATTTGAAAACAAGGAAATGGTTGTGTGGGAAAAATTCCTCAAATCTGTACTTCATAACTTTGATACTTTCTATAAGGTCTTCCAGCCAGCATGACCAAATCCTTTCAAGTCCAAGTCCCTGAAGCTCCACACTACTGTCTGAGGAGTTACCATGCTTGCTGCTCTCTGGACCCTAGCATACTCCCCACCATGTACTCTGCAAAATTCTTGAAGAATTTGGTCATTTAGCCAAGACCATCTCAACAAAGTTTTGTACCTCCTACCTTCTCTGCAAAAATGTGGTATTTAAAATTAGCCCTTGAAAAGTTGCATGAAATTTCTGTAGATAGAACTGGATCTTAACATCCTAGATCAGTTCACATTTGAAATGAAATCTTCCAGGGCTAATGGAGGAAGAAAATGAGCCATAGTGGAAGGCCACTAGAATTAGAAATCAAGAGCCTACATCCTTGTCACAGTTCTGCTGCTGAGTAACTGAATGACCTTGGAGAAGGTACATAAACCTGGACCTATCCTCAGAAATATAAGCGAACTGAATTAAGTGATTCTTAAGATCCTCTAAATATTGAGTACCTTATAGCTTTAAGGATAAATAAAATGGGGAGGATAAACTTCGAGAAAAATTTAAAGTTTCCTCTATGTAACCAATGGAACCTGAATTATATAAGGAAAGAGAAAAAAAACGCTTTCCTAAGTATTGTCCCTTTCTCAAGAGAATGTCTTTTTGCTCAATGATTTCTTCAGAGCAACTTTGACGTCTTTATTTCTTAAGCTATAGATTAGCGGGTTGAGCATGGGCACAACGGTGGTATAGAACAAGGAGGACACTTTCCCCTGATTCATAGGTAAAAGAGAGGATGGTTTGAGGTACATAAATGCCCCTGACCCAAAGAAAAGAGAAACAGCAATTATGTGAGAGCTGCATGTGCTGAAGGCTTTGGACCTGCCCTCAGTGGAACGAATACGGAGAATGCTGGTGAGGATGAGGGCATAAGAAATGAAGATGGTAACTGTGGGCACGCCAATATCAATGCCCACGACAACGAAAACTACCAGCTCATTTACATAGGTGCTGGTGCAAGAGCGCTCAAGAAGGGGAAGGATGTCACACATGTAGTGGTCAACCAGATTGTTGGCACAGAAGGTCAGTCTCACCATGCATGTCGTGTGGGCCATGGCCCCAGCAAACCCCATCACATAGACACCCAACAGAAGAAGCGAGCAGACCCGAGGAGACATGGTGGCTGTGTACACCAGTGGGTTACAGATGGCGATGTAGCGGTCATATGCCATTGCTGACAGGATGAAGGACTCAGAGACAACAAAGAAAAGAAAAAAGAAGAGCTGAGTCATACACCCTGCGTAGGCGATGATGTTCTTCTTTGAGACAAAACTCATCAGCATCTTGGGAGTGATAACAGTGGAATAGCAAAAATCTATGAAGGACAAGTTGAAGAGGAAGAAGTACATGGGGGTGTGCAGGTGAGAATTCAGCCCAATCAGGGTTATCAGACCCAGGTTCCCCATCACAATGACCACATAGAAACCTAGAAACAGGAAGAAGAGGGGCATCCGGAGTCCGGGCTGGTTGGTTAAGCCTGCAAGGATAAATTCTGTCACAGAGGAGTTCTCAGCTGCCATTCTCATTAAAGGCATTCTGTGGAAACAAGAGGAAAAAGTCAGAAAGGGAGACAGAGACAGAGGCCCCTTCTTGAAAACCTGATCCTCCCATTCTTGAAAACCTGATCCACACAAAGAGATTTTGGACTTGCAGAAAGGCCTTTCAGGATGCCTGTGTATCTGTTCTCACAGCCCCCTAAGGAGTCTGCCACTAGAGTACCCTCTGGAGGATGGACCTTTCTCCATGGTGAGGGAAGATGCTGCTGCGAAGAAGCGTCTCAAGGATGAGCTCAGGAGTCTTCTGGGTCTTTGGTCTATTTATTGTGTCCTTCCAACTCCAGCTTATGCTCAGGATTATAAAACCTCGGGCCAATACCTGAGGAGAGTCCGCTTAAGAGGTGGGAGCCAGCCCACTGTGCCTGGAGTTTCCACTCCATGGTCACCCATGGGAGAGGGTCTTCCCCAAAGCCTTTACTACCTGAGGTTGGGGACTTAGGAAAAGTTCAGCCCGGATTCAGTCACTCACCCTTCTTCAGCCCAGAGCCTCAATTGTGCCTTTCAGTCCCGTTCTTATCCTCAATCGTTCAGACAGATAAATGGCTATAATGCTAACACAGATAAAGGAACAAAGCACAGACCATTTTAGCTCCTGTCCTGTTTGAAGGATCAGAATTTGGACGGCCTTAGAATTTGTTCTGATCTAAAGAAGGTGATATTTCATGGAGGCTTTGCCCCAAGGCTATTTTCCAGTTTGTAGAAGGGAGACAGGATCCTTACCTATAATCAGTGCCAGCTGGTGACAGGAGACTGAGCAGTGTTTTTCTAGGTTTAGAGATCTGGGGACCTGATTAGAAGTAGAAAGTCAGAGGATCCCCCGGGATCACAGCCCTAGAAACTAACTTTTTAAAAAAATGAATATTTGCTTGTACCCTTGATAATATTTGAATGGGCTTTTAGAAAAATTATTCATTTATCCAATTAACATCTACTCAGTAAAATGCAAAGCATTGTGCAAAAATAATCACTTACCATTTATTAAGAACTTATTATATATACCAAACATTCCTAGCACTTCTGTACTGACCCCAGCAGTCCAGGATCCAAAATCATTTCACAAACAATACTTCCTTTTAATTCTCCCCCAAATCCTATGAACTGGGTTTAATCACTCCTGTTTTAGAGGTGCAGTAATTCACCAGATGTTAAATTAAAAAGGCCGTATTAAATCTAGGTCCATCTTACTCCAAATCTGGTGTTCTTAGTAATTGTGTTTAACATCTGCCTATGGGAGATAATAAAATATGTAAGCAGGGTTCTTGCCTTCAAGGGTCTGACAATCTCTTGGAAAAGATAAGATAGAATACACTGAACTTAATATGCTGAAAAAGATATGATAAAATACAGAAAAGGTAAAAGTAAAATGCTATTCAAGTTCAGAGAGGGTATTCCATACACCACTTAAATTTCAGTTTATCACAGAAATCCCATAATATCTAGTTCAGGGAGAAACAGACTTTCCTTGTAATCCCTTGGAATTGGAGTTTAGCAGTAAAGAAAAATCCCCATCCGTTAAGAACTATTTTTTCCAAAATTGCTAAATTGTTGGAATTTTTGATGGCCCCTGCCCTCTACCCTGTCAGCTCTCTTTCAGGAGGCTCCCAGTGAGCTAATACTGACTCTGATGACCTCGTAGCTTGAACTCCCTTCTTCCTACCAAACCACCAACGTTTATGTCCCTATTTTGCTTACTTTGCTCTTTTTCTAACTCTCCCTCATGACAGAAGTTATCCCACTGTGCCTCAGTATCTCAGTGTCTTGCTTGAGCCCAGTGACAGCTAATTCACACTTTTGGGGTCTCAGATTTGAAGCAATATTAAAAACCATCTAGTCCTAACAGTTGAGTTAGATGAGCCTATGCATATTAAAAGTGCATTTACTGCTGCTCCAATGCAAACATAATAAATTCAAATCCCAGAAGTAGACCTTTATGATCTGTTTTTACCTCTAAATCTGTCCCTGGTGATTGGGGTGTTTAGCCAGGTTTGGGATTCACTGATCTAGCCCTCCAACCCTACATCACCCAGACAGGAAAACTGAGGTCCAGCTAGTCACACAGCTGGTTGGTGGTGGAGTCTGGAATCCAACTTTAATCTCTAACTTCTCCAGTTGGAGGGGTTTTCCAGCCTTTCTAAAAGAAGCCCACCTGCTCTTTGACTTGGCTGAGTACAATGCAGAGCACAAGGAAAGGGCATAATTGGACATCAAACTTAGAACAGCACCCCAGGGTTATAGTAGGGAGAGACTTAAATGCCATGTCAAGAAATGTGTATGCAGTGTGAATCCATGGAACATTTTGAACAGAAGAATGGCATGATCAGGGGAATGACATGATCAGATGTGCTGAGGAAGACCAATTAGTCTAACAGGCTACTATCAGGCATCAGTGGCTTAATACCGCAGTCCCTCCAGGCAATGTTCTATCTTGTAATTCAGACAGGATGCTTTAACTCCAAGGACAACAGTAAGACAAAGGACAAAGTATGGACTTTCAAAAAAGAGTTAAATGGAGCAAAAGGCCTTTCTAAACTTTTTGGCACAGTAAAAATCACATAACGTGGCCCCTGCCTTATAGCTGTGGTAGCATCTACCCTCTGCTCTGAACAATTTTGCAAGGCCCTGTCCCATCACCAGGCTGTCTGTGTCGGACATTGTTTCTGCCTCATTTCAGCCCATCTTTTTGGCTTCTGCTGTTGCTGTGGCAGCTGGCTGCACGCAGTTGTAGTCAAGAAGCACAGTTCACCAGCTGCACCACTTTGGACTGCTGCCACCACACAGACTGTCTGCTGGAATCCCCCCAGCCACTCTGGTGCATGTGCAAACCTGCAGGTGTGAAGGAGTTAACACCCCTGGGAGTCAGTGGATAAATGCTTTGCTCTTCTGTGTCTCTAGTGCTCCATTCCTCATGGATTCTCAACGGGGCCTCAGAGAGACGGGTTGTGAATTTCCCATTGAGGCAAACACCGTAATGGCCTGCCTTGGATTGGCTTTCCATCCTTCCCTGCTTCACTCTTCCTCTTCCCTTAGATCACTTCCAGAAATAAGCTACCTCCATATAAGTCCTTGTCCCCAGCATGGCTTTTCTCAGCTGAAGTGCTCCCAAAACAGTATTTGGAGCAAGTTTGACCAAAATGTTCCTTACTCCACCTGGGAGGAAACAGCCTCACCCAAACCTGTTTGATTCCAGGTCAGGGAAATAAATATGAATCACTAAATTTATCAATGTATGCCCTAACAAAATGCCAAAATACTAGAAGGAACAGGATCTCAAATCATTAGCAGCTCATACCCTAATGGACATTAGCCAGAAAGTCCTAGTGTCTTGACTTAGATCCACTGAAGCTCCTCCTGACATCTTGCTGTCTTTGTGACCATCCATATACCTCCCTGAGCCGGGACAGGTAAGAACTAAGTTTATTCATGTTTGTATCTTTAGAACCAAATGTCAGACCTGGCTTGCAGCAGCTCAGAAAACATTTTTTCATCTCAGATTTTCACCCTTCCTCATCTGTGAAATGGGAATAATGATAATAATCCATAAGACTGTTGTGAGGGATAAATTAAATCATAAGAGCCTAGCAAAGAGGCTGACGCATGGAAAAACCTTGATAAATGTTTATAGAAAACCTACTAGAAACCCCAGAATTAGACCCACAAAAGTATGGCCAACTAATCTTTGACAAAGCAGGAAAGAATATCCAATGGAAAAAAGACAGTCTCTTTAACAAATGGTGCTGGGAGAACTGGACAGCAACATGCAGAAGAATGAAACTAGACCACTTTCTTACACCATTCACAAAAATAAACTCAAAATGGATAAAGGACCTGAATGTGAGACAGGAAACCATCAAAACCCTAGAGGAGAAAGCAGGAAAAACCTCTCTGACCTCAGCCGCAGCAGTTTCTTACTTGACACATCTCCAAAAGCAAGGGAATTAAAAGCAAAAATGAACTATTGGACCTCATGAAGATAAAAAGCTTCTGCACTGCAACAATCAACAAAACTAAAAGGCAACCAACAGAATGGGAAAAGATATTTGGCATATCGGACAAAGGGCTAGTATCCAAAATCTATAAAGAAGTCACCAAACTCCACACCCAAAAAACAAGTAATCCAGTGAAGAAATGGGCAGAAAACATGAACAGACACTTCTCTAAAGAAGACATCCAGATGGCCAACAGGCACATGAAGAGTTGCTCAACGTTGCTCCTCATCAGGCAAATACAAATCAAAACACTCAGATACCACCTCATGCCAGTCAGAGTGGCTAAAAGGAACAAATCAGGAGACTATACATCTGGCAAGGATGTGGAGAAACAGGAACCCTCTTAAACTGTTGGAAATGCAAACTGGTGCAGCCACTCTGGAAAACAGTGTGGAGGTTCCTCAAAAAATTAAAAATACAGCTACCCTATGACCCAGCAATAGCACTGCTAGGAACTTACCCAAGGGATACAGGAGTGCTGATGCATAGGGGCACTTGTACCCCAATGTTTACAGCAGCACTCTCAACAATAGCCAAATTATGGAAAGAGCCTACATGTCCATCAACTGATGAATGGATAAAGAAGTTGTGGTTTATATACACAATGGAATACTACGTGGCAATGAGAAAGAATGAAATATGGCCTTTTGTAGCAATGTGGATGGAATTGGAGAGTGTTATGCTAAGTAAAGTAAGTCATACAGAGAAAGAGAGATACCATATGTTTTCACTCTTATGGGGATCCTGAGAAACTTAACAGAAGACCATGGGGGGAGGGGAAGGGAAAAAAAAAAAACGTTAGAGAGGGAGGGAGCCAAAACATGAGACTCTTAAAAACTGAGAACAAACTGAGGGTTTATGGGGGGTAAGGGGGGGGAGGATGGGTGATGGGCTTTGAGGAAGGCACCTCATTGGAAAGAGCACTGGATGTTGTATGGAAACCAATTTGACAATAAATTTCATATTAAAAAATAGTAATAAAGGCAAAAAAAAAGAAAAGAAAACCTACATAAAATATATATAATTTAGGGAGGGAATGAGAGAGAGAAAAAGCCTGCTAAGAGCTAGATGAGCCTGTAAGGGCAAAAGAGAGGCTAATATAGGGAGGAAGTGAGGAGAGCTGATTGACAGAAATAAGGGAAAGCTGAAGCAGTGTTTTTTTTTTCTTCAGAAGTTTATCTAAGGCCCAACTCTCCAATGTAACTTAATCACAGACAGGATCAGGATCCTTGAGTATTCCACCTGTCTCTGCTTCCTGTCCCACCATGGATGCCCTATTTTTCTTAGAACCACACTCTACCACACCACAGAGGCCAAATTATGAGGTCAGGTGAGGTTTCATTCACAGCCTCTGATCTTTCCTTTTTGTGCCCATTTCAAACAACTCACAGTCCTAATGCATGCTCTACCTTCAATTGTCAAAAGCAGTTCTCAGGAAAGAGCTCACAAATTCATCAACACAGTCCACTAAGGACTTGTTGGGGATCATCCACATTCCACACCCTCTTCCAGGCATATTTTTTTTTACAAAGACAAAATCTATAACCAAAAAAAAAAAGAGAGAGAGAGAGAGATCTCTACTTATGAATTTTGAAACAGCGCTCAATTGATGAGAGGTGCATTTTGGTGGGGAGTCACCTTGTACTGGGTTTATAATCAGAATTGCTGGGGTGCCTGGGTGGCTCTGTCGATTGGTCATCTGTCTTCAGCTCAGGTCACGATCTCATGGTTCGTGAGTTCAAGCCCCACGTCGGGCTCTGTGCTGACAGCTCAGAGCCTGGAGCCTGATTCAGATTCTGTGTCTCCCTCTCTCTCTGCTCCTCCCCCTCTCACACTCTGTCTCTCTGTCTCTCTCTCTCTCTCTCTCTCTCAAAAATAAACATTTAAAAAAAATTTTAAAAAAGAAGAATTGCTTTGGCACCTGTCTGTCCTCCACTTGGCAAGCTAATTACAACCCCTGTATCAGTCCTGTGTATGTGTGTATGTCTTTTGTGTGTGAATGTTGGGTGACTTTTGTGCATTCCCAGTGCTTGCCTATGCTTCACACGAGGGATATATGTTTAAATCACTTAAGACCTTAAGCACAAATCTTATACTTAGAAATTTGCCACTGCTGTGGTGATTACAATAAATCCCAGTCCCTGCTCTCATTCCTTCTCTAGTCAACTCACAATTAAAGAAAATAAATCATCATCACAAACCTGAAATAAGACCCACAGGAAAATGGCTCCATGGGGCACAGACAGCAAAGAAGACCCAAGCTTCATTAAAAACTGACTTTTCTCTAGAAGCCTGAGAAGATTCTTGTTTGGATGATAGAACAACCAAGAAAAGTTCCTTTGGATTTATGTCACCTCGGAGCTTGTTGCCATGGGAACTACATCTCAAAATCTTCTCAACTGGGGCTTCACTAAAGTCATGTTCCTTGAAGAGCAGATGAAGCCCAAGCAGGAAGCAGTGTAGGAAGAACTATTCTTAACTGTATTCTTTTGTTGCGAAGTTGCCCTCTTTCCAAAACTTGCATCTCTATATAGTGCTTCTTTCTTTATTTATTTCTATTTTTTCCGTCTTTTTTTCCCCATTATAGTCTATTTGTATCATTCCATGCGTGGTACCTGTAAATGCAATACAATGTCTCTCACGCACATGTATTAACCCACAGACTTCTGGTGGCACAAAGCTGGTCCCAAGTGCATTGACCATCACCACACACCAGAGGAGGCCAAGCACAAGTAACACTTTCATAAGAGATACAGAACCTCACTGAAAAGAAAAGATGGCGGCTCAAACAAAGATCTTGGTTTGAAATAGCCACAGTTAACTTCTAAGCAAATATCAAGAGTTACATGGTTCTGTACGTATTTAATCTCAATTTACTTTCAGTAAGCATTTTCATCTACTTAACATACAAATCTCTACATAAATAATACACATATTTAACGTAGAATCCTAGACCTTGGAGGTCTATATGGGAGAAGGGGGGGTAATTCACACATAATGAACGCTATGTACCAAGCTAGTAGTTTTACATACACTATGTCATTTATAGGTAAATGAATAATCCTCACAAAGTACAGATTGTCATACTTAAAATAATCATTCGGGGGCGCCTGGGTGGCGCAGTCGGTTAAGCGTCCGACTTCAGCCAGGTCACGATCTCGCGGTCCGGGAGTTCGAGCCCCGCGTCAGGCTCTGGGCTGATGGCTCAGAGCCTGGAGCCTGTTTCCGATTCTGTGTCTCCCTCTCTCTCTGCTCCTCCCCCGTTCATGCTCTGTCTCTCTCTGTCGCAAAAATAAAAACGTTGAAAAAAATAAAATAAAATAAAATAATCATTCAATGGATTCAAGAACATTAATGCTAGTATTAATATTTTACATTTTTAAAATGCTCACTATGTGCCAGGAACTATGCTAAGTGCTTTACACAGTTAGTTTTTACAAAAATTCTGTGAAGGTGTTATTATCCTAGTTTGCACAAGAACATTTCCTTGAATCAAAGGAATCAAACTTACTTATCTTGTAGTTAGGACAGCCCCGTCTCTTTGAGCCTCCAGGCATTTGTAGTGATGGAGGAATTAGCAGGATTTGCTAGATTAATGATCACGATGGTGAGAATAGATGAAAGTTCAAGTATCGAATGTGACTAAGATTTCAATTCCAGGACACAGAAAAGGGAAGTAAAGAGGGAAAATAAAGAGCTAGAATTTAGACCTGAATGTCAACTGCTGGACGTACATCTAAGAGGGATGGTCAGTAAACAGCTGTCACTGTGAGATCAGAGCTTGATAGAAAATCAAGACTTGTATTGGGAAATCATGGAAACAGAGGATCACAGAAACCACAAGTCAACGGTAAAGGACAGAACCTTTCAACACAAGTGAGGAAGAAGTCATTAGTAAATGTGTCGGTGAAGACAAATGCAGTGGCCCCAAGCAGGCTTTGTAGTCAAATGACCTGGGTTCTGATCACCTCACTCACTGGCCAAGTAAGCTTTATGATGTTTATATCTCAGTGACCCCATGTATAAACAGAGATATTAACACCTAACATAGAGGACTGTTCTGAGGATTAACTATCATATGTTTAATAAGTACAGTTCACCTGTGAACAACACAGGTTTGAACTGCATGGGTCCACTTTTATGCAGATTTTTTTTCAATAAATACACCACAGGACTATAAATGTACTTTCTTTTCCTTATGATTTTCTTAATAACATTTTCTTTTCTCTAGCCTACTTTATTATAAGAATACAGTATGTAGTACATATAACATACAAAATATGTGTTAATCAACTGCTTATGTTATCCGTAAAGGCTTCTGGTCGCAGTAGGCTATGAGTAGTTAAGTTTGGGAGACTCAAAAGTTATACACAAATTTTTGACTTCCCAGGAGTTGGTGCCTAACTCCTGCGTTGGTCAGCGGTCAATATAAATTTTGAATTAATGAAGTATCACAGGGCCCTTATTCTTCTATTTCTCTTCTTACCTACTTGATCAAATTCTGCCTTTCATCCACTGCTTCAGGAGTCAATTTCCCCAGCCCCGCCCCAATTGTATCATAAGCTACTGCAAAACACAATCATATGTTGAAATACTATTTAATTTACACACCCAGTATGGAACACAATGATGAACACACATATTGTTCATTAATATTTACTAAGTTCAGTAGAAGGAAATATACATATGGTTCCATAAAAGCCCAGATGTGCAAACTGATAAATTCAGGGATATATTCATTTTTCAAATACTGAAGGAATTTGCTAGAAGTTTCCTATATAAATAGTTTTGTAAACCTTTTTCTAAATGGTAAATAAATAATGTAGATTATATGTAACTGGTTTCACTGTAAATATGTTTGACATTTTAAATATACTAATGTTGACACTGAATTGACAGTCATGCCTGGTGATGTGTGCTTATTGGGTGTGACCTCCAGGATTAAGATATTTACAGAATAGAAGAAGGCTACCAGCATTTTGAGGACTGGCAAAGGAAAGTTACCCAGTGACAGAAAGAGCTACAAAGCCTTCCCAAATTAGGAGCTGCCCGGAGCTCAGTTTCATCATAGCCCACAGTTTGTGGCTCTTAAAATAGGAATCCATTTTTAAGTGACATTTAACTCAGCAATATATGTGCTATAATAAGCAAATTACACTAACACTAGCAGTGTAAAATATATGATTCCAAGGTATGTTATGGACACACCATGTTCCAATATTGTGCTAGAGAGGGGGCAAATACAAGGAGATAATATGGCCTTATTTAAAGGCAGTTTGAGGGAGGGGAGATTATTCTAGCCATTAATGGGAATGTCTCAATTGATTTTTAAAAAATCCTGTAAATGAAGATTCACTAATATAGGAAGCAACAGACTTCTTTCCTTGTTGGACAGAGATGTCTCAGAAATCCTAATTGTAACATGGTGAAGATTCTATTTTTTAACATCTCTTCTGGTCAGGGAAAGCCACAAAACCTCTGTAAGGATTTTTTTTTTTTTTTTGCACTTTTCAAAGGTTTCTCTAGAGAATGTTTCTAAAGACTAGTTTTAATCAAGAAGCAATGTGATGTAGTTGAAGGGGCCAGATTTAGGAGTCTAAAGATCTGTTGTGTGGCCTTGGAAACCTGAAAATGTCTCTCATTCTGAGATTTCTTCTTCTGTACACATGAATATCAAAACCTGCCTTATTAACAACAACAACAGCAAAAACAAAAACAAAACAAAACCAAAAAAACCCTGCCTTATTTACTTCGTGATGTTATATACAGTATACCAGATGTCTTCTTCCCTGCCTGTCATTAAATGTTGAAGTACTTGAAATTTCCAACGTCCTCTCTCTTATCCTACAATTTAAATAACATCTATTGATGGTTAATTATCTGTTAATTGCCTTAAGTTTTCAACTGCTAAAAGGGCTCACAAGCTTCAAACCTTTTATATACTAATAACAGCTTTATCTCAAGTAACGTACAGCAATATCAGAAGGGTATACAATGAAAGGTGTCCAGATATTTCTGTCTGGCACAGGCCTCTTTGCCCTCCCACCACTGGGTTGCACAACACGCACTTTGTCTTAAGGTCTCGAACCACCAGCAACATATATGAGAAACTTCTTGATACCAAGAAGTCCAAAGTCTGCTACTCTTAAAATGAGCTGGTCTTGTAGACATAGTAGACCTATGTGACCAGCCTGAACTGTTGAAACCCCCAGGCTCTGCTGAAACCTGATGCAATTATTATTATTCTTGAACTATTATAATCCAATTATTATTACTAGATAATGTTTCCAAGTTGTTGCATCCTGCCCCAAAGCAGTTCAGAGACGTGGTTATAAAATACCGTTTCTCTTTAGTAAACACATTCCATCGGATCGGCTAATGGTCAGTACCTTGCCCTAGGCAGCTCTGGAGATAAACATGCAGTCACTCCATACATATGTTCTATACAGTTGATAGCTGCCAAGTGTATTTGTCTAGTTTATACTTATGTCCTGCACTGTCAACAGATTATCAAACATCCCCACCTGAATGTCTTGAATACACATCAAAAACTCAGCCGTGTGAAATTGTCTTCTCCCTAAAATGTTCTTCTCCTATGTTCTTTAATGAAGGCAAAATAAAAAATTAACAACCAAAATTAACACAATCTTCTTATTCTTGTATGACCTCTCCATCCAGCCTCACATCATAGCTAAATTGATTATTTAAGCTGAAACTCAACTTCTCAGTGGTGATTTGTGGGGAAGGAAAAATTATCCTCCACCCCTCAAGGTCTTCTGGCTGGTCAAAGAATTAAATTGACATGAGACAGCTTAACAGGAAAAAAATTAATTTTGTATGCATGGAGCCCAATAATAAAATTGAGACCCAAAGAAATAACCAAGACATGCAGGTTTTATACAATTTAGACCCCCCCCCAAAAAAAAACAAAAACAAAAACAAATAAAACACATACACAAACACATAAATCTGTGAGAAATTCAGAGGACAAAGAAAATTTCATGTTTTGAGGCTTCACTTAGTAAAAAATTCTAAACAGAATTTATGTGGGGGTAGTAAGTTAGTAAAAGCAACAAGATTTGTTTATATAGGCTTCTTTGGCCCTGAATTCCCTGTCTCTGATGGTAAGGATCCCTCTACCTCTTGGTACAGGGAAGGTACCATTCACATGGGAGATTTATTTCTTGCTTTCAGGGGGACAAAAAGGGTCAGATTGTTCATTTTGCACTGGCTGATTCTTAAATAACTTGAATTTAAAATAAGCAGTTTGCCACAGTGGCATATTTGGGGG